CATATGGCATCTCCTATGGGTGTTAACTTGGACATTTGTATTTTTGATATTATCTTTTTTTTAGTCCTGTATATTACCCAGAGTTCTTCAAGAATGAGATGAGTTATAAATGTTGTTAATAATAAATATCACAATGACTATAGTCTATCCATGAGCATGCCTACAGTTCTTTCTGCTTTTGCACTTATATTCCAGATGATTTATTTCAATTATCAACTGCCCAGTGTCTTTAGTCCTTGTTTGTTGCATAAGATTTGCTCACGTCAGAGCTGAAGAAGCAAAACACCTTCAAAGAAAAAACAAGAAAGTCCAGTTGCCTCCTGAAAAAGCACCTATGGGATTCCATAGACTATTTGCTCAAGACTAAACTTTAACATGCAGAAAACCACTTTATACTAACCACTGTTAGCTTATCTGGTTGAGGATCCCCTCAATTATTTTCAATGGGAATATTCCCATTTTCCTACCTGAGCATTCAACTGAATCTGAGGCATGCAATAAATTTAAAGAAAAGCTTGAAAAATATATATTGCAGTTTATGGTAGATAATGAGTGCAATGGGGCATGGTAATGACTCTAGAAGCATATTTTTTAACCCATAATGTATTGTGTGTGAGTGTGTGTTTGAACTAATTATTTGAAAAATAGCAAGCCTGATTTATTTGAAGTCCACATAATGTATTTTTAGAGCAATCTAAAAACAGTAATGAGAGGTACAAACTGTGCAATTCTTCTATCCATTTATAGTTTTTATGCTAAATTTGAAAAAATACATCTAAGCTATCAGATTTGGATTGCAAAAATCCATATACCACTAGACAGGGACAAAAGATACAAAAGACCCAATGCTCTGCTACTTTTTAGTGATCATATCATATGCATTTTAGTAGCCCACATATAATAGCCCTGATGTATTCCACATATTTTTAATGAATGTTTGACAAAGACTAGAGATACAGTAGTCTTTTTTAAGGAAGGAAACCCTTGTTGGCTTGGTGATTTTTTTGAGAAGGTTTTTCAACCTTCCACGCCCGATGCTATTTGTATGGTGAATTTGTTCAATTTCATTCTGAAGTAAGAATGCTACTGCTACCCCAGTCTATGCAGAAGAATTCTAAATTAAGAGATGGAATTGTGAGTGTACAAGCTCATTCCAAGTATACAACTTCTTGCAAATTTCATTTTGCCTTTACCCTGAAGACCTCAAAAGAACATCTGTAGGAATATATATTGCCCTAAAGATAATGTGACTTAGAAGCTGAGCCTGACTTTTGGTGATTGCAGTTTTTTTCCAAGCAGCATTACGAAAGTGGTTAGCTATAGCCTTCTTCCAGGATATTCAACCTCTCAATCTAGCCAACTGCTCTAAAATCCCTACTTGATAAGGGTTATGGAAAGGGTTGGAAATACATTTACCTGAATCTCTCTTTAAGATATTTGCAAACAATAAGGTTGAGATGTAGGCATGTTCCCCAATTCCACTATAGTTCTAAAATGAACATCTACATAGGTCTTAAATACAAGACCTAACCACACACTATATATTATATATCCATTAAACAATATCAATGCTATGATGAATTTCTATGGTCGTGTCTATCCACATATTATCCTTATTATCTATCTTTTGGGCTTTTCAGACCTCAACAGTTTTTTTTTTTAAGTAACTTTAAGTACTGTAGTATCTTCTGGTTCTTTTTAGCTTTTTAAAGATTTATTTTTTCAATTCACTCACTGCAGCCATATTTTGTAGAATAAAACCGCATATGAGTAATTCATCATAGCTAGAACTTGCTCATCACTATGAGGTACTTTTTGCTTTGCTTATTCTCTCCTGAACAGCATTTATCTCAGAGAAGTGAAGGAATATATGAGCCAAAGAAAGTTAGATTTTCTACTATACATGTACCTGTGTTATCAAACTATTCTACTTTAAAATCCAAAGTCCACGCATGCATTAAGCTTGTTTCAGGCAGCAGTGATAGATGATAGATAGATGATAGAGACAGACAGATAAGCAGGCAGATTTCTATTTCTAACTCTTGTATGTCTCTAAACTCCAATAAAGCAGCTCATTTGCTGGGAAATAGATGACAGACATTTATGGTAAGAATTCATATAATAAAAGTAGGGAAATGATAGTTCTCCATGTTTCTAAATGGAAGTTTCCTATAAGTATGTCCTACAGCAATGTTTCTCAACCTTGACAGCTTGAAGATGTGTGGACTTCAACTCCCAGAATTCCCCAGCATAGCTGATTGGGGAATTCAGGGAGGTGAAGCCCACACATCTTCAAGCCGCCAAGCTGCAAATGCTGCAATAGTGGTGTCCATACATGTCTGCCCAACATGTGGTAGAACATTCCGTGCCCCTATAGGCCTTACCAGCCACCTGGGGACACACAGTGGACAACCCACAACCTGTTAGATGTCAAGGTCCTCTTCGAAAACGATGGACGAACATCATGTCTTAACTATGATAAGTAGGTAACTCATGCCGAGTTTTCACTGCAAAGTTATGATATGTGTATCACTGCTCTCTAGCCTGTAGAGAACTATAGGTTCTTTATTTTTATGACATAATGTAGCTTTAATGAGCCAGGCGTCTGTAGCTCAAACACTGTATCAGCAATATATGTACTCGGTGCCTCATTCAGTCTCTTTCTTTCACATACAGTACATCTGATATGTGGGTCATAACATAATTGCTGCCGATAGAGATGTCAACAATTACTCAGATTCACTCAAATTAGACACTATATTATCTTGCTGTTGGCCAAATTCACCCAGCATGTTCTCATAAGGTGAAATGGGACTCAGAGCTTTGTGGGAAACAAAGTCAATGTCTGAACATGGTATGCCAATCAAGCTATCATATTAAACTCTAATAAAGCAGCTCGTTTGCTGGGGAATAGCATGAAAAAGGAGGGCAGTCATTCTCCTTTACCAAGTTTGATTTACGGTTAACTTGTATGAACTTGGCCATTAAATATCAACGACGACAATGATTTAACTGGAAGAGAAAATGTAAGCCTTTTGGGAAACATGTCACAACAGGACAATTCTGCTAACGTCAAGCATTTTCAAATGGCATGCCACCAACTGGAAGCACCAGTCAATTGGTTAGTTTTCTATATTACTAACTGAATCCGAATCCTTCATAGAAAGAAACAACCTGTTGTATTTTAACATGTTGTAAATCCCTGCTGTCCCAGACATAATCTCACAAGAGTGATCCACATTCCTTTCCTTCACATACTGATGGGGATGCATTTTACAAAACTGGCATTTCTGTTTTGTTGTACTAATCTAATGGATTAGATATACTGGGGGCGGGAGACAGAGGTCAGCAGATAGTAAAAAAAAAAAACACTAAGTGGAATCAGTGAGTCCTGCTTAACTAGGTCACATAAACATGGTAAATACATTATTTATATCTGCAGGATGAATGGAAAACAGGGTTAATACGTAGCAATGAATTATTAAGTTGATGATGCCTATGAATATTCCTTGTTTTGGTAACCGTTACTTGCCTTTAATTTTCTTGACAATATTTAACTGAGCTAAATAATTGTAAAAGGAAATTCTACAGTTCCTAAAAGCCAAAGTTCCTAAATCAAATTTTGAAATTCCCCGGGGCTTTTAAGGAAATGTTTATAATGTTTATAATAATGTCATATGGGTATTCCCACAGGAGTCTCCCCCTCTTCCCTCGAAGAGTATACCGCATAGTGCAAAGTTTTAAGAAACTTCCTCCGGCTTTTAGTCAGAAAAAGTTATTTTCCTTCTCTCAAGTCGCATAACAATTTCCAGCAACGCGCCTCGAAGTTACAGGTTGCTTTAAATCGCCTTTCAGCCGCGCGTCCGAGGGCAGGACCGGCAGCCTATTTCTGCGCAGCCTCAATCTCGCTTTTACAGATCCCGCGCTTACAAGATTCTCTCCAAAGCTGATCACGCTGATCCAACCTGACAGCAAGCTCCGCCGCGCTCAAGGAGGTATAGCCCGGCGCCTACTACTTGCAGGACAAACCGGACGGAACCCCGGGCACGACTTTCCGCTGCAAACCAGCCAAAACCCATTCCCCAAAGCTAGAGCCCCGAAGCTGACTTGGGCCTCGGGAAACCTTTCGCAACAGGCAACAAGCAACTAAATACTTCTAAAAGTATTTTCCTACGTAGCAGAGGGTAGCGCCAAAAACTTGTGTTTGCTTGCTCCGGAATAGGGTTAACTGTTGGGTAACCCGCACGACTCCCAGCGTGGCGACGTCCCGCTTGCCTTGGGCTTGCGGGCACGTTTAACTTGCATCTGCAACTGTTCGATCCCCTTGGAAAACTCCGCCAATCGCCTCCTTTCGGTTTCCTATCCTGAGCTTGTTTTTGCGATTCCTGGTTTTAGAGAGCGCCGCTCTTAAACGCTAAAAATTAAATCCCACCTTCTGCAATGCAATGGGTTCTATTAAAAGGTTTTAAGATTAACCACCTTGGCAGGCCACCTCTGCAGATCTGTCTTAAAATAGCTCTGATGAGATTCCCAGGTAAGCGGGAATTCTCCAGGTTTCTGGTGCTATTTGACACAGATCCCGCTTTGAATTGTAAGGAGGGTACTCTGGGATAAGGGGTTGAATGGCCACGCCAGGCTCTACAAATGCCTTATTCCGAAGAAAGTCCCACTGATCTCCCGAAGGGATTTCCTCTGTAAAAGAATCTCGGTCTGGATAATCTCTTTGGTCCGAGGAGGTGGGGGGGGGTGTTTGCTAACGTTTAGCCTTGCAAGGATTACAGAAGTCAAGGCTGATATGAAACGGGTAGCTTTCCTTCCCGAAGGGAGGCTCATATTTGAAAGACCGTTCTAACCAGCTCTAGGCTGCCATTGCAACGCCTCTTTCCTCCTCTTTTCCTCCTAAAATGAAACTCTCCAGCCGTTGCACGCTCCGGCGGGCAGACCGCGACCTTCCCGTCCCACCCCCTCCCGGCAAATTCAAGTCCCCTGTCCCGCCTCACCCTTCCGTCGATGCCATGGTGCCGTGCGAGCCCCCCTCGCTTGTCTTTCTCCAGAAATCTGGGGGCTTCCACAAAGCGCGGCCGCTTTCAGCGGGGAAGATTCAAGGACGCTCCCTTCGGTCTTATCTTTGGGCTTCGGGGACCCCTTGGCGATTCCTGCCTTGTATAATAATCCTCCCGGCTCTGAAAAGCCAGCATCCAAGAAGCTGGGCTCTGTGGAGCAAACCCCCGCTGCTGTTGCTCCTGCCGCCGCCACCACCACCTCTTCTTCTTCCTCCTCCTCCTCCTCGGCTCGGAGTGAAATTTCTCAACGTCTTCTGGAAGCTTGAATGTCTTGATGGAGAAGGGGAGTGCGAGCGAGAGAGGAGGGGGAGCGAGGAAGAGAGAATGGAGGACAGAGGGGGGGGGGGTAGAATCCAAAAGCCCACAACCCCCGTGAGGGGAAAAAGACTACGATCAATGGGGAAACGACAAGGCTTAAGCAGTGGCAATGCCAGGGCTTTGATTCTTCGCTTTCTACGCTCACCCGGAGAGCCAGCTGGGATTGTTTGTGTGTGTGTGAGAGAGAGAGAGAGAGACTGGAGGAAGGGGGGTTGTGTTGTGTATGAAACGCGTTGTGGGGCGGTGGGTGATTTCACATTGCCATGGTGTCGGCTGAGGCTGGATTGGAAGGTTTAACGGTGGATTTGCAGACTCTCCCTCTCTATTTTAGGCGAGAGCTGACATCACTAGCCGTTGCCTCGCCGGCAAATCCCCCAGCCTCTTATTTGTAAAGGAAAAGCCCTCCCAGACGAACGCAGGGGATGCATAGGAATGAAGGCAACGAGAGAGAGAGAGAGCGAGAGCGGCGCCTGGTGCACCTCGGCGGTCTTAACTTCCAAACCCCTGAAGAAACGGGCTGGTCCTCGTTAATTCGAGATGATTATTACTACTAACTACCTTCCCTCTCTCCCTCCCTCCCTTCCGGGCTGGCTGGGAAAGCGGAGCGAAAGCGATTAAGTGATAACGCGTGGAAAGGGGGAGGGGAAAAAAAAGCGCTTCGAATCTCAATCTGCCGCGACGGCAGATTTTCCCTTTGTGCTGGCTCGGTTCCGATCCCACTCGGCGGTGGGGGCTGCAAGAACACGCGCTTTCCCCCTTCACGAAAGAATACAACACCTATATACAACGCCGCATCTCCTTTGTAGCTGTTATGCACCGATCCTCCCCCTCCCATTTCCAGTGCATTTTGTTCAGATGCGAACCCTACCCCCCCCCCTTCCAGTCCTTCGCCATATGGCCAGAAATCTGGGCATCGTTAGAAGGCTAGCTAATTAATATTAGTAGTCAATACTCGTTATCGGGCTTGAAATCCTGGCATTAGCCTACCACGCGAATAGAAAGCGTCGCTTTGCCTTCCCCCCCCCTCCCCACTCAGAGCTGTCACACATTTCTTCTTTAAAACCTGCCCGGGTTTCCGATTGGAGCGCGCCGTCCGCGGGGCCGAGACGCGATAATGAATTAATACGAGGCGAGGGCAAAGCGGAATGCGCGTCCCCGCGCGCTCTCAATAAACTGCTCCGGCGCTGGTTTTGCGTAGCTTTAGGGCTGTAATCTCACACACACCCTTAAAAGAGAGAAGGCTCCCTTAGGTATTGCGGCTGAGAAAGGAGCATAAAGTTGAATTTCTGAGGGCACCAAAGCAGCCTTTTATGATGGAGGGGTGCAAGTTAGGATCTCATGCTTTTGATGCAGCAGGTCAGAAACTGGATGGGGTTAGAATGCATGTTTGGGGCTGGAGATTAAAGGGGTGAAAATTGATGATTTTGAAAAGCATCAAATCAATCCCTCTCTCCCACCCATTCCCCTATGGCAGGGGGAATGTTTATTTATAAAACAAAATTCTTAGATTACCCACAACATACTCCCTTCCACCCACATTTTGCAAGCAATAAAGAGAAGCTGGGAGAATAGTTTTACAAACTTTATTCTTAATTTTTCCAAAATTTCCTGAATAACGTCCAACATTGAATCATATCAAATCACTCCCTTTTGCATAGGGCAGGGGTGGGCAAATGTGGCCCTTTTACAACTTTGACAGCCAAACTGTCTCAGGAATTCTGGGAATTGAAGTCCACAGATTGTAAAAGGGCCACATTTGCCCACCCCTGCCCTATGCAAAAGGGAGTGATTTGGCTCAATCACTCTGCATATGGGGCCCCGGGACCGATAGTACTTTTTCATATACAGGCTTCAAGAATTGATATGATTCAATGTTGGACGTTATTCAGGAAATTTTGGAAAAATTAAGAATAAAGTTTGTAAAACTATTCTCCCAGCTTCTCTTTATTGCTTGCAAAATGTGGGTGGAAGGGAGTATGTTGTGGGTAATCTAAGAATTTTGTTTTATGCTGCTGAATTTGAACATTTCCTCAACGTTCTGTGCGGGACTATCTACAAGTAGCATCTTCAGACAGTGACTATAGCAAAAATCCATCTAAAGGAACCCACCGTGCAATTCCATTTCAGAAAGTGGAATTTACACTTTAAAATTCCACTTTAGTTTACACTTTTTCTGAAAGTGTAAACTAAATCATCTAAGCAGAGCAAAGAGGAATTAATTTGTCAAGTGGGGAAATGGAACGTTATCCTTTTGCAATACAGAATTACAAGATGTATTGACTATATCAGTAAAGTCTTTTATTGAATCACTCTCAGTGGAAATAAATGTAATCTTTAGAGTAGCACAGCATTCTTGATTAGATTGGGTGAACAAACCAAGCAACTCTGGAGATGGGATGAGAGACCAGTTCCAAATAAATTCATAGTTCTGCATCCAGTTCAATTTCCTGTGAAATTGATTGTTCCCAGAACACAGCAGTGAGATACATTGAATGCTTTTGGATAATTGATGCAAGATTATCCAATCTGATATTAATTGATGATGGTGCTAATATCTGATAATACCTGGTTGGGTAATGAAATACGTGCAAGCAAACAGCCAAGTTCAGACAGCCACAAGGACTCCACAGTTCAACCTTGAGCTATAGATATTCTGTTGGAACTTTGGATAATTACCTGTTTTTTGCATCTATAAGAAGTCAGCGTAACCTCTGTTTGGCGATATCATAGATCAGTGCTTATCAAAACAGGTGTGGAGAAGAAGCTAGAGATTTATCTTTCCCTAGAAATTAAAAACATTGTTTCCTTTTCTCTTAAATGATTTCTTCTTAATTGGTATTCTGGGAAGTAGTTAGTAGATTAACCTCCTTAGAACAAAGTAGAAAAGAGAATAATAGGTATCCTTTTAAAGTAGAACATTGGTTGTTAGATCCCCCAGTCATTCTGATGATTCTCATCAATTTGAAATGAATCAGGAGTCTTGTAACACCTTTTCCAATTAACCAGTTTTATTAAAAGGGCAGCATATGCTCTTGCCAGCTGGAGCTCAGTTCTTTAGATGCATAGAGTGGCTAGGACCCAGGATTTTAAAAAAGGGGAGAGGTGAAAAATACCCCATCAAATAGCATTTGTAATGTATTAAAAATCCACCCTGTTTGTTAAGGCCTTTCAATGTATGTGTGTGTGTGCTTGACAATCTATTGCACTAATAGTGGTGCAGTTTCATTGTTCTAAAACAGCCATCTTGAACTGTTAATCAAATGTCCTAGAAAGTTGAAATTAATGCTACTTTGTCCTTATTTGAGATCCTGATACCAATCAATCCTATCCATTCATTCTTTCCCACAAAGTCTACCTGTTTGTTCAAGTTGCAATTGAAAAGGTATTGCTGACAGATGAAGGTACCGGTATATGAAACATTGGAAGAAGAACACCTCTTCTTTTTTTTTTAATGAAGTTACTGGGACTGGTGATGGTGCTGTTGATATAAATAAGGGGGCAAAATAAACCTCTTGGGTTTATTGCAGAGTTTGCTGCTCCCCAGTTTAGCATCATGATTTGTTGCTTGTGAGAAAATGTTTCAAGTTGGGTGATTATCTGTATGCAAGTATGGGTGTGCCACCCTGAGCCAGAGAAATGTGCCATTGTCCAGCATGGTTTGTAATATATTAATAAAACATCTGTAACAAGAATTGTAGGAGACAACCAGTGGTGTTCTGTTTTTTGTGGTTTGGCTTTTAATGGGTCCTCCCTGATCATTGATTTGGCTCTATTGATTTGTTTAGTGATCTCACTGGATAAGTAGTTCAGTTTTATGAATGCCTGGATGAACTCTTATCTATTGAGCAGCTCTGTCGGATGGGTTAGAAGGATTTTAATTATAACATAGAGCCTGGTTATAGATTTGATAGTGTGTTCTGAGTGGAAGTATGCATGGAGATTTGTAGATTTTCCGTATAATGGGGTGTCCGTGTATCCATTCCTCAGTTTTACTGTGACCTCAAGGAAATGGGTAGCTCTATAGAAAGGATGACATTGATGGTGGGTGGAAGTTATGGTCACGATGGAATGAGAGATTCTTTTTCATGGTCCAAATCAGAGGTGGGTTCCAGCAGGTTCTGACCAGTTCTGGAGAACCAGTAGTGGAAATTTGGAGTAGTTCGGAGAACCGGTAGTAAAAAATCTGACTGGCCCAGCCCCCATCTATTCTCTGCCTCCTGAGTCCCATCTGATCTGGAGGAAATGGAGATTTTACAGTATCCTTCCCCTGGAGTGGGCTGGGAATGGAGATTTTACAGTATCCTTCCCCTGACATGCCCATCAAGCCATGCCACACCCACCAAGCCACACCCACAGAACCAGTAGTAAAAAAATTTGAAACCCTCTACTGGTCCAAATGACACCAATGAATCTTAGGAAATGAGAGTTGAAAAAGTGTTGTCCTAAGTCAGAGTTGAATCTTTTTTTTCTTTATGGGAGAAAAACATGCTTACAATCCAACACACATTAATAGTTATATTTTCCCTTGGGGAAGATTAAGTTTTCACTCCGAAGCAGAAACATTTTTACCATACTAACCCCATCAAGTGCTTACCAAGGAGACACTGTCTGTACCGAGTTTATTTTTGTAAACTCTCATTGTTCAGGTCATAATATTTTGCTTTTTGTATAGGTTTATTCAGCTATAACCTACCCTATGGCAGCTACTGCTTTATTGATTTTACTTCTTGCTTTTTCTGACTTCTGTAAATTGGAATGTACCTGCTAAGAAAATCTGTCCTTTGGCTCTTGTTTATTTCATTGAAAAACTACCTTATTCCTACATCTGCTTCAAAGGTCATTCTAAATTATCAGAATATTGTTTTTCCACATTTTTCCCTCTAATACAATATGAAGGATTATTTATTTATTTTAAAGATTTATATAGTTGCCCAGGGGTGAAATCCAGCAGGTTCTGACAGGTTCTGGAGAACCAGTAGCGGAAATTTTGAGCAGTTAGGAGAACCGGCAAATACCACCTCTGGCTGGCGCCAGGGTGGGGTGGGAATGGAGATTTTGCAATATCCTTCCCCTGCCATGCCCACCAAGCCACACCATGCCCACCAAGCCACACCCACAGAACCGGTAGTAAAAAAAATTGGATTTCACCCCTGTAGTTGCCCATCTTAAGCAACTCCAGATAGTTCAGAACAGCAACAGATAATGGAAATCTCTATATTGAATTGTCATATCACAAACTTTCGCAGGTCCCTTTATGATAGATAAGGGGTGTCAAACTGGGGGCCCACAGGGCGGATGCGTCATGCACAGGCCATGCCCACCCCAGCTCTGTGAAGGGGAAAAAGTCGCGAAACATCATGTGACAGCAATGTGATGCAGCGAGTTTGACACCCATGTGATAGATGATTCTATCAGGTGAGCCATATAAATCTGCCTATCTCTCATTTCCATCTTGATTTTTTCTCCTTTCTCTTGTCCACAGCTTCACTTATTTTTGTATTTTTCAATAGCCAAGGTGGATCCTGCACAACTCCCTGCAAGAAGTTAATGACAAAATGGTGCCTTTGCCTCCCACAACTGCCAGTACCATATGCAGCAAGCTTATTTCAGCAGGAATTGTCTTTTTATAATTAAGTGCAATTGGATAGTTTAAGAAGATGAGGTTTGTAGAAAGAAACATGTAATAATCTTTTCTGTTCTCTTGTCATTATTGTAGCATACCCTTTCTGAGACAGGCATTTCAGTCTACCTAACGCAAGGAACAGACAGATAGTCAGTAATGTTGAATGTGAAAATGTTGTTTATATTTCTGGGGCCAAATGTCAATGCCCTATAGAATTTTTGTTCTTATCTACTGAACAGTATAGAAAGAATCAATTGTGCAAACCAAAGAAATTCGTTTATATTTGAATAGTTGTCACAACATACAAATTACAGAATGAGTGAGACAACCCAAAGGAAACAAAAAAGCAAACATTATTAGTATAGAATAAATGATAAAAATTATCAGTTCTGCCTAAAATCTAAAATAGCCCAATGCTACAATTCGTACCATGGGAATAAGAACAGCAAGACAGAACATGATTTAACACAGAACCAGCAATTGGGGAGAAAGATATGTTAGCTACAATGGTTGAAGGAGACTTTGAGATAACAGCAAAACATATAACTTTGCTACCAGATGGCCAAACTTTGCAGTTAATAAGAGATGGTAAAAACAGGGAAATGCCTAACTTTGCAATAAATTGTTGGGCTTTATTGTTATGTGAGTAAGGGGATTTTTAGAAGAAAGTTATTTCCTGGAAACCTGAAGATTGAATTATGAAGGTTGAGAGAGTGTGAATAATTTAGGAAGAATAAGCTAATACCAAATAGTCAATGAAGTATGCATAATTTAAGTACACAAGGTTGAAAAAAATGTGACCTCTGATTTCTGAAGTCCAAAAGACTCATTTACCTTGAAGATTAAGAATGGAAAGATCATCCCACTGTTAGATTTTATGACACAGAATTCTTGCTTTGTTTTCATGGTACTAGTGAGCTTTGCCTGACAAAATAATGTATTTTAATAAGTTTGTTTTTTAAGAAATTGAAGAGATTAAGAAGAGGTGGCAAAATTACACAGAAGAACTATTCAAGAACGAACTTAACATCCCTGATAACCAAGATGGGGTGGTCACTGACCTCGAGCCAGACATCCTAGAATGTGAAGTCAAATGGGCCTTAGGAAATTGGAGCAACAAAAAAGCTAGTGGAGGTGACAGTATTTCAGCTGAGCTATTCAAAATCTTAAAAGACGATGCAGTAAAAGTGCTACACTCAATTTGTCAGCAAATTTGGAAAACTCAACAGTGGCCACCGGATTGGAAAACGTCAGTTTACATTCCAGTTCCAAAGAAAGGCAATGACAAATAATGTTCAAACTATTGCACCATTGCACTCATTTCACATGCTAGTAAAGTTATGCTTAAAATCCTATAAGCTAGGCTTCAGCAGTATGTGGCTAGAGAACTACCAGAAGTATAGGCAGGATTTCGAAGAGACAGAAGAACTAGAGATCAAATTGCCAACATACGCTGGATCATGGAGAAAGCTAGGGTGTTCCAGAAAAACATCTACTTCTGCTTCATTGACTATGCTAAAGCCTTTGATTGTGTGGATCACAACAAATTGTGGCAAGTTCTTAAAGAGATGGGAGTATCAGACCATCTTATTTGTCTTCTGAGAAACCTATATGTGGATCAAGAAGCAACAGTGAGAATTGGACATGGAACCACAGATTGGTTCAAAATTGGGAAAGGAGTCTGCATACTGTTGCCCTGCCTATTTAACTTATATGCACAGCACATCATGAGAAAGGCAGGACTAGATCAGGGGTGAAATCCAGCAGGTTGTGACAGGTTCTGGAAAACCAATAGCAGAAATTTTTAGCAGTTCAGAGAACCAGTAAATACCACCTCTGGCTGGCCCCAGAGTGTGGTGGGAATGGGGATTTTGCAGTATCCTTCTCCTGCCACGCCCACCAAGCCACACCCACAGAGCCAGTAGTAAAAAAATTTGGATTTCACCACTGGGCTAGATGAATCAAAAGGTGGAATTAAGATTGCCAGGAGAAATATCAACAACCTCCGATATACAGATGATACCACTCCAATGGCAGAAAGTGAAGAGGAACTAAAGAGCCTCTTGATGTGGGTGAAGAAGGAGAGTGCAAAAGTTGGCTTGAAACATTAAGAAAACTAAGATTATGGCATCCGGCCCTCTCAATGCCTAGCAAATAGATGGGGAAGAAATGGAGGTAGTGACAGATTTTATTTTCCTGGGCTCCAAGATCACCGCAGATGGGGACTGCAGCCAAGAAATTAAAAGACGCTTGCTCCTGGGGAGGAAAGCTATGGCAAATCTAGATAGCTTACTAAAAAGCAGAGACATCACCCTGCCAACAAAAGTGCGTATAGTCAAGGCTATGGTTTTCCCAGTTGCAATGTATGGCTATGAAAGTTGGACCATAAGAAAGGCTGAGTGCCAAAGAATTGAGGCCTTTGAACTATGGTGCTGGAGAAGACTCCTGCGAGTCCCTTGGACTGCAAGGTGATCAAACCGGTCAGTCCTAGAGGAGATCAACCCTGACTGCTCTTTAGAAGGCCAGATCCTGAAGATGAAACTCAAATACTTTGGTGACCTAATGAGAAGGAAGGACTCAATGGAGAAGAGCCTAATGCTGGGAACGATTGAGGGCAAAAGAAGAAGGGGAAGACAGAGAATGTGGTGGCTGGATGGAGTCAATGAAACAGTAGGTGTGAACTTAAATGGACTCCAGAAGATGGTAGAGGACAGGAAGGCCTAGAGGAATGTTGTCCATGGGGTCGCAATGGGTCGGACACGACTTTGCAATTAACAACAACAATAACTTATTTCTGATTTGCTTTTGTCATTATTTTCAAGGAAAATTAAGCCACAAAGAACTTTTCAGACCGGTGAATGCATTTGTAGGTCTTATTCTATAACATTGTCTAATACCTAATAATATTAAATCCTTAAATTTTAGGATTCCAGCATTTTATAACATTTTCATAAAATAATTTCAGGCAGCATTCTCATCACATCACTGCGTGTCCGGTAGAGATTAACAAAACTTTTTTGTACTGTAATTGTTACAACAAAGCACACTTTAATTCCTTCTGTTGGTGAAAGATTTATTATTTGGATTATAGCAAATGTTTTCAAAGTGCTTCTGGAAAACTCTGGAGAAGTCAAGGAGACATAGAAACTCAGAAGACATAGCTTGCATTCTACATGTATATTGAATGCATTTTCCTAAACACAAAATATATCCATATTCAGAAGTTCTATGATGGAAATACAAATATGTCTTGACAGTTAAATAAGTGAGAAAAAAATATCCTGGACATAGGAAATATGAAAAGTGCTGAATTATGCCATTTATAAATGTATTACTATTCTATATTTTCTAGTTCTAACAAGTTATTTTTAAACAAATGAACACAATGGATAGGAAATAGATTGAGATGGATCCACAATCAAATCTTGGTTTGCAGGTTTAAGAGAACCTTTGTTTATTTGCCTGTGTACAGTATTTTAAGAGGGAAAAATACAATATAAAATATACCAAAACTAACGTAGCCCATAATAAATTCATCCAATTTTGGAATAATCTCTTGCCATTCTCTCATGTTTCTCAGACTTGTGCAAATACCTTCCAATCTTTTTATTCAGATAAGTGTTAAAACAGATGGCATACAGTTACTTTGGCCCATCATACTTTGTTTCCACCAGAAGAAGGGGGAAATCTGAGACATGGTAATCCATTTGTCATATTCAGAGCTTCTGGTAAAATCATCTAGCCTCACTGAATAGTAAGACTCTGGCAAATTTCCGAGGGCCCTGCTCTAGCTTCAGTGGATGAAAAACCTGAAGTATCAGAGAGAGGAATCAATAAAGCTATCTTTTCAGAAAACACTTCTGAGCTAAACATTTCATTTCATGTTCTTCTCAATCCAGTCTTTGAAAGGAATTGCTCGGGTGTAGCCAGTGCAAAGTTCTAGGCTGCATGTCTTGTCATAGCCCCAGCTCACCAAACCCATGAGATGCCAAATTAACTCAGAAGTTGATTTTCCTGGCAAAGGTATTGCAGCAATCCCTCCAGTCTCGGAAGGGCAGATGTTAGAAGCTGCTGTGGGATGCTGCTTGGCACAAAACATACTGTCAGTGACACTGACTTGGATTCCATGTTCCTCATATTGTTGCTCACACAGAAGGGAGTCCACTATCTGAACAGACCCACTACGAATTGTATCGTTCTTGTAGTTTGAGTCTGTAACATCAGTCAGGATCTTCCAACCGGTGATGACTATTTGCAAATCATCTGTAGGAGGATCGATATCCCTTGCGGATGCCAGGCAGATGGGTTGGACATGGCTGCTGATTCTGGCCTTGTCCAGGAGTTTAATGATAGCTATGTCAGAATCGAGCAATATAGGGTCGTAATTTGGGTGAACTATGATGGCTGAAATCTAGGAGAAATCCAGAACAGCAATATAAGAATTCACATGTTACATATATTTTATCCTGATTTTAATATTGTATATGAAATCCCATATCATCTCTAGCAGTCACTAACTGCTGTCAGCTGCAGCCACAGTTACAATAGTGTCTCCAGACCATGGGTATCTTGCAATATAGCTATGCTAGATGGGAATTGCAACAGTTGGATTTCCAAGGCAATCGGAAAATCTCAGGAGGAAGGTAGCTTGAGTAAGATCAAACTGTAGATTGCAATGTTAAATCAAAACCAAAGGACTAAAAACCTGATAAGTGACTCAAGCGTAGAAAAAGGAAAATTATTTTGATGGAAATATGCAGCATCTATTACCCAGGTAAAGGCGGTAAAACATTTTTAAAGTACCAGAATGAAATAACTGTAAGAAGTGGCTCAAGCAGTCACTTCCCTAATTTACTGAATTATAAGGAGGAGGTGCAGAACAAAAAGATTTGTAAATTCTATATTATAGCCAGTCTCAATAAAAATAGTTTCGGCTGTCTTATGGAGTTGATTTCCTAGTTTACTTATTGAGGTTGATGACAACAATACAACCTAGGTGTGATGGAGTTTATTGGTCTGTTTCTTTAAAATTTAATCCACTAGAGCTTTTGAAGCTTTTTTTTAAAAATCCAGTACAAGAAAAAAAGTTAATGAGGAATCAACAGTAAAGGTGAAGAATATCTATCTATATCTATCATCTATCAATATATATAATCTATCTATCTATTATCTATCTATCATCTAGTTAGCTATCATCAAGCTATCTGGCTATCATCTTTCCTTATTACTATAAACAATTGGCTACAGATACTCCCATCTCAGCCTGCTAATTGCAACTAGTTGTAATTACATCAATAAGGCTTATCTCTAAGTGGCTGACCTGCAAGCTCTAGGCCACAAGTAACTCCTGGAAGCCTTAGATATGGCCAACCAGAAGCTTCTAAAGGCAGATACCAAAGTATAGTTTTTATGGAACAAGAAATTAAAATTACTGATTACCTGACTTGAAAGGGAACATATGTACTGTGTTTAATTTCAAGGAAATAGAAATATCAATGAAGTTTAGTTTTCGTTTTATTCACTATGATGTACTAAAGGGCTTAGCACTCATCTACTCATCCCAAACACTTAACTCACCCGTAGATTCTGTATGATCTTCTCATCTCTATCTTCATCTCTGTAGAACTTGCCAAGAACAACTCTGATGTCTGCTGTTTTGAGAACAGTGACCTTCCCCAGATTGGTGACACAGTGTGCAGCCACAACAACTGTGCGTTCATTCAACAAAGCTCCGCTGCAAATCAGTATCCAAGTCCCTTTTCTGTGATTGGGAAACTTCACCCCATTAGGTCTCCGATAGATGGCTGCTTGCCATGGCCATCTGGTTGTGGATGATTTGTGAAGTATAGTGTTTTCTGTCTTTCCGCAGACTGCCAAAAGGAGAGGGAGAAGAAAGAAATATGATTTTTTAATTAATAAAACAAAGTATGTAAAATCAATTGTATTCAATAATCAGTTAAACTACCTGAGCCCAAGGCAAATTTTACCTTGCAATAAAATTACATTATGTAAAATAAATCTGTTGGCTTTCTAAATGTTATCAAGTTCTACCCATCCACCCTCCTTTCCAGATTTCTTTCTTTCTTTGGCAAACCGTATTATATTCTAAGACTAATGAAATATTCAGGACTTCCCAAAGCAGATTTTTAAAGTCACATAGTAAGCCTTGTTCTAAAAGATGAGAAGCTTTGATTGTTTAGATAGAAAAGTGGAATAGAAGCTTAACAATAAACCAAACCAAACAAAAATGGCCTTAGCTTTGCTGAATATGACTTGAAGCTGTCACACCAATCAACAGAAAAGTCTATTCTGTATACTCTGTGGGTTGCCAACAAGCCTCTAAACACTAAGTAATAGAGTCTTTTCCATTCTCATAGACAGTTTATTTGCATGATGTTGTACAGACCAATATAAATGACAGAGCATTAATTCAGACAGAGTTAATATTTTAAAATCCCTGGATTTTAAAGTGCAAAAGGCAATCAGAAAGGTAAACTTCTCTTTTTTTAAAATCAGTGAAGATTAATAATGTTTAATCTCTGTTGAATTGGGCTCAATTTTATATTTGCGTATTAACATTTGTTTTGATCAATGGGTATTTTCTAGTGAGTATTTCTTTTGGTTTGTCACAAGTGGCACTCACTGCTAATGAACCATTCTCACATTCATTAAAAAGAGCCCTCAAATCTTTCCAAGTGCTGGAAAATTTGCAAAAATAAGCAGACAATCCCCATTTATCAACCACCTCCCTTTCAAGGTAGATTTCTTCTGGTGACAAAAAACAGTGACATTTTGTGGACATGGCTACGCCTTTCACCTTATCTGTCCCTATGACAATGGGGATGAACAAAAACAGATTTGTCTTTCTAACACATTTTGAAACTATAAATTTCAAGAAACTTAATAGGAAGTGACGTTCCTATATATTTCACTTCAGGATAAGGCCTGCTTTGGCCTCATTTCCAACCAACCTTCCTCAGTGCCAATGACCTTTCTTTTTTTCACAGGAACAAGCTTTTTTTTTTTTGCTTCCAAAATAGGTTGGATTGGCAGAAAAGGCTTGTTAACTGAGGGGAAAGCAAATCCCACTGAGAGAGCTGAATTCCTCTGTCTCACAATTGGCCGAAGTGTTTTCAATGTCTATTCCTCTCAAATGTGAACTTGGTTGCTATTAATACATCCTTTCAGATAAAGATCTTTGAGCGGTTATTTTCCTCTAGCTGGAGATCTTTGAAGGATATCCTTATGTTCTGAGTTGCATAAGTGACAAACTCTGAATAGAATTAACAGGAGCAACTTCCCGCTTCCCTCGCACTTGTAAAGAAGCAAGCTTGTATTCGCTTGTGTGCATATTTGAATAATAGTTCTATTTGCTGGCCTACAAGTGGCATTCATGTTCTTCATTTAAGAATGTCTAATCACCAGCTGGTCCCAAAGAGAAATCCTCAATAATTATTGTATAGCCCACCTCATCACAGGCAACTGTACATGAATTCCCTAGTTCTGAACAATTTGTTCCTCAAGGTATTTTCATTTAGAGAGCAATATTATTACTTATGGCATGGCAGCGTTGCCTAATGTTCTATGTCTGATAACCACACTCTTACTTGGAATGCATGAAGGGGCCCTCCCACTCCATTTTCCTGTTTTCAGACAGGTTCTTCGGCTGCTTCCCAAACGATGGTAAAAATGAGAAATACAGTCATACTGCAGCTGCATGTGAAGATGGTGGAAGCCTGGAGGCAATTCTCCAAATGGTAGTGAAGGTTTCTTGGTTGGATATGCCTCCAACTTCTGTTTGTTAAATGTAGATGAATAGAGTTGATGCAAGGGAGTCTCCCTGTTTTGTTCGCAGAGAACATGGAATTATAATCAAGAAGCCGAAACCTTTTTTTAAATATCTTTAGCTTTTATAGTATTTGAAGTACAGTTTGGAATAAAGCTTTATTACAAATAAGCTAATATTTATAATTACAATCCAGTGAAACTTTGCAGCCCATGGAGCCATTCAAGACTTTCTAGACTCTTAATAAAATTCAGCATTCTCTTCTCCAAATATGATTAAGAGGCAAGGCTTAACAATAGAATGTTTAAACTGGCAATCCAAATTCAGTCCATTGTCTTTCCAGTTAGCAGTGTTGGGAAGATGTGTCTGATGTCTTGGAATTTCACTAGTAAAAGTATACTTACAATAAACTGTACATAATACTTCTATATATTTAGATGTATATACCAATAATCTGATTCACTGACTTTCCAGGCTGACTTTAAGAGATATTAGACTGTTTTGCAAAGTGTGACCTCCTTTTGCAAAAGATTCATTAAAAAAGCACTGAAGCGTTTACCAAGCAATTGTTAATATCAGCAAGGAAAACTAAAGAGAGAATGAATGTATCATCTATTCCACTATGGGGGATACATACCCACCCCCACCTCCACCCACCCCCACCCACACACGGAGAGGGAGGGAAGGGGGTGAGGGAGAGAGAGAGATCTGAAATTTTTGCACAACACAAATTCAACCTATTCTTGTATGGGCGTTGAAGGAAGATTTTTCCACACATGTAACTCTCCTCTGCCCATATTTTTAATATGTGGCAATAAAACCTAACTGAATCTAAAAAATTTACACAGTTCTAAGAATTTTAGAATTAGAGAGAATATAATGTGTAACTCTTGTGTTATGATTATATAATACAGTACTATACTATCACATACTTTTCATGTAATAACTGTTCAAATATGTGTTAATTTAAGGAAGTGCTAGTTTTGTTGTCTAGTACAGGGGTCCCCAACCCTGAGCCCCCTGGATGGCACCCGTCCATGGCATGCCAGCAAATGAGCAAAGCCCCATGTGCGGGATGCAAACAGCACACAAAACCATGCCCGCCCCAGTCCATAGAAAAACCTCTCTCCATGAAACTGGTCCCTGTGCCCAAAAGGCTGGGGACTGCTGGTCTAGTATGTTTATGCTGCTTTTGACTAGAGATTTATTTGTATTTTGATTGTATTATCAAAAGTAAAATGTCCCTCAAATCAAGATTGACTCATACACCCATTTCATGGATTTACAAATTCTTCTTGGCAAAAATGCGCAAGCAGCAATAATAGACATCTTAGTTTATCCTGCAACCTGATCCTTCATCCAAGTACTCATGAAGACCTGTTATAGGAGAAGGAGTAGCAGAATGTGGAGGCAGAGTTAAAAGAGGCATCAGCCTAGAGTCCCTACATAGCCACAAGTGAACTAAGTCTGACCTCTCTTGAATTACATTGACCCATATCTAGCCCCAAACAGGTGTTAATCATTTGCTGATAAGATTCTTGCATATAGGCATGATTAGCAATAAATCAGTTTAATTAATTGGACCTGGTTGGGGTTTTTTTTTGTGTGCCTGACACCTGCTTAGGTTACTAGATCAGCAAACTGACTAAATGTTATACTAAACAAATGCTGAGGTTTAGAAGGAAAATTTATATTTTGGATAATTCCCAGCAGAGATCGTGAACAAAAAGGTGGAACAATAGCTTATTATTTTATGGGATGACACAGACATCAGCTCCTATCTATGATGCCAAAATTGGGAAATGTGCATAGTGATATCATGATACAAGTTCTGTCATTTGTTGTTTTGTTGCAATGTTACATTCAAGGATATAAGGGGCAGAGTTTCCATATCAATTTCATAATATTTGCCACTTGCAGATGCTTATGTATGATGAGTTCATGAATATCTTCTATGTAATCACCAGAGCAGCAACAGTTATACAGCACCTATTTTGACAATTCTTATCACACCTTTCTTTAGATTCCGCATAAAAAGATTTCTTATCTTTTTATCAGTTAGGAGTTGGTCGTCTGAGTCTGTAGTCTATTATAAAGTACTGTGACAAACTATCAGAATTGTATCATATATTATATCAGCTAATATATTTGCATGTGGATGTTGATACTTATAGAGTAATTGTTGGGTGACCATGCTGGCTTATAAATTTCCATCTAATAGATTTTTTTTTTATCAAACTAGCAATTGTTATTTCCAGAATAACTGCTAAAGTTTATGCATTTTTTCCCAGATATGTTTGCACAGCCAGGCACAAAGACACAAGAACAAGCAATAATATTTTTCATTAATATAAGGTATTGCAATCTTACCTTGACTGTACTTGTATAGGGAGTACTTTCTGTCTCACCAGATCAGAAATCTTGGGTTCCCTGCAAGCTAGAAAAAAAATACTACACAATATTGCATAATTCTTTTTCATATTTCACACACAAATTTATGGTGTCTTTATCACTTCCTGGCCCTATCATAAATGAATTAAGATAAATGTCAAGCAATTCATGAAACAATAGATATTGCATATTTTTAAGAATAACTTTTAGTTCTTAAAATTTTTTCTTTTTTTTTCTCTTTTCTTAAACTGAGCAAACAAGCCTAAGCTTTAGATGTTGCATTTCACAAACCGTTGAAATGATGCAATTGCAATCCACTGTTTCTCTACTTAGAGGTTCCACATATCTCAATAGGAACAGAATAATTATACCCTTCTTCTGTATATTTATAGCCTGGCAATCATCACTCAGCTGGTTCATGGATTATATATGTCCACCATTAGCAGGAAGAATATTAGAGAGATCCTATTATATTTTGGATGAGACATAAGGTCATTAATAGTTCCATAAACCTCATTCCTTTCTTCTAAAATCTTGATATTTACTTTCATTTTTCATGCTTAATAAATGAGAGCAGAAATAGATAATAGATAAACCATTATGAAATTAAGAATTAAACACAGTATTAATTCATTTGAAAGACCACTTTCAAGCCACTATATAGTTGTGAAAGATTTGGACATTTTATTTATTAGATTTCTGTCTTGGATCCCCTTGAGGAGCTCAACTGATCTAAAATTAATATCAGGGGAAAATACATGCTCAACAACAGGCAAGTAATTAATATTTATAAAGAGGCAAAAGGGGAGGAGCAGTGACAAAACATGTAGCGTGACATGATACACATTTTGTCCTCTTCTACTGTATATCTTTGTCATTTGTATCCTGGCTTGCTATAGATCTCCTCAATTAGTAGTTCTAATATGGTTATGCAAAAATATAGAAAGAGTAGTACATATCAGTCCAAAAGCTAGAGCTGACCGATTACTGAGTCCATTTGTATGCCATATGCTTTTTCATTAGCATTTTATTGTTTTCCTCCCTGTTTTCATAGAAATTGTCTGGATTATTCTTCAAAAAATAAAGACTTCTTCTACCTCTGGCCTGTTTATTTGCAAATCTATGAAAAGGTGAATTAGGAATCTGATTCTGTAGATTGTTTCTGTCCCAGTTTCTATAAGCAAGCAATTTTTTTTGTACTGTCGAGCTTCAGCTTGACAGTTCCTTAAATTAGTTTATCCAGTAAGTCAGATGGAAAAAAAATACGATGAAGAGGCCAACGAAGCATTAGACTCCACTTCTATATAAAAGGACAATTTCCTTTTTTTAAAAAAAATATGAATGGGCACATCATAATTTTGAGCACATATTGTAGTGCTTCTTGCAAAATAGCTGCAAAGTTGCCTTATCTATCCCACAAATTGCTGCCAGGCGAGATAGAGTGCAAAACATGGATTCACCTGTTTCTCACTGCTGTTGTATTTTCTTTCAGATTATTGGAGAAAGGTGCCAAAGTTGCAAACGTGCTACAAGAAACTTTTTATTAAAACCAAAGGAGATTGAGCCTATTCTGCCTAGCATTACACCTTTTCTTACTATTGGCTCCCTCTTTCTCTTTTGCCTAGTTTCTCCTCCTTGGTTAGTTTCCCAATCTGAACTACTCTAAACAAGTGTTCCTTAAAACCTAGTTTGCCTCAGGGAATTGACTACTACAGAATATAATGCCTCCATCTCTGTTTATCAAAGACTTTTTTCTGGGCAGGTAGGCATATTTATCAGCAGAGCTACTTGGTGCTTTCAAGGTATTTTGGGAAATAAAGAGGATACTGAAGGACAACACTTCAATTTGTACTGTATCACTTTTTTGAAATAAAAAGACAAATGGTGCACCAAGCTGGACAGGAGCCAAGCATGTTTTCCATGGGAACAATTATTAGAGAACCTAGAACCTACAGTAGACAATCAGGTATTTTCCAGATAATTGGATTCTAATTTTAATAAGCTCCACTAGACTTAATTTATGGTCAGAGATTACAAAGGGGATTGGAAAAATTATCTATCTCTATATCAAGTCTTAATACTCCTGGTATTCATACATTGGTTAGTATGCAGCTTATAAAATGTATAAAACGAGACGAGCTGCGCCACCGAACTGTGCCACTGAGCCGAGGTGGCGCAGTGGTTAGAGTGCAGTACTGCAGCTACTTCGGCTGATTGCTAGTTCAGCAGATCAAATCTCACCGGCTCAAGGTTGACTCAGCCTTCCATCCTTCCAAGGTGGGTAAAATGAGGACCCAGATTGTTGGGGGCAATATGCTATTTAGTATACTGTCTTTGGTGTAAGCCGCCCAGAGTCCTTGGAGAGTGGACGGCATAGAAATATGACTAATAAAATAAAATAAAATAAAATCTATTTGGATTGCTTCACACATGTAGAATTTGGAGAACGTGTCATTGATGATTTTAGAAAATGGTTGTTGTGGTATCAATGATACTTATGCCTATCCATGGCAATCAGACTGTATTAGAAGGAACAGGGGTGCAGTTGTTCACTGACATCCTATTCACGTTGTAAGACGGGTGTCAAACTCAATTTCATTGAGGGCCACATCAGGATTGGGTTTGACCTTGGAGGACCGGGTGGGGGTGGGCGGGCCATGGTGGGGGTGGCCACGGTGGGAGTGACACAGAACTGCACCTCCGCAGACATGGTTTTATAAACTTATAAAAATAGGGAAGCATACATTTCTGTGATTTTGCTTTTTTAATACTTACTTGAGCTGCTTGATCACCTTATGAAAGAGAGAGACCAGATTAAGAAACTGACTCCATAGGAAGATTAGAACTATAAATTATTGACATAGGCTAGTAGCAGAATCTTGCAAGCCTGAAAGGTAAAATATTTTACTTTTCCTCCCTTTTAAAACCTTCTAAGTCAAGGAAGGCCTCCTGCAGTACTCCGGAGACCCCATTTTGGGCCTGGAAGGCCTCCTGGACCAGTACAGAGGCCAAAAGGGGTTGCGGATGTGTGTGTGTGCCCCGCCCATGCCCCATTTTTGCTAGCAGATGCACCGCGGGCTGGTCCTTTGCTATTTCCAGACCTGCCCCGTGGGCCCGATCTAAGCACTTCGTGGACTTTGAGTTTGACACCCCTGTTATGAGATGTTCACAACCAACTGTGGGTTTTTTTTTTTTTTTTGGGGCAAACTAGTTTATCAGTAACTTTCTATGGGGCAAATTTTAGATCCTGACATATTCTTGAATAGAGAAAAGATGCAACAGATTATTAATTTATTTTGTAACAATCTATCTTCCAGTTAAATTGTTCTTAGTTACAGAAACATGGAAGAAATTAGATGAAGTAGGGATTCTAGTGGGAATCAACAAAAATTACATCAGTACAGTAGATGCCTTAATATATTCATTAAAATATTGCAAGTATTAAGTTGAAGTGATGTTATTAATTACCTTTTATACAGATTGGTTGTTTCCCTGACCACTCGCCATTGGGTTTGCAGGTCCTCTTTTCATTACCGCTGAGAGTATAGGTGTTATTGCAAAAGAATGTAATTACGGTTCCAATTTTTGTATAATGACCATTAATTAGAGCAGTATCATCCAGCAGTTTCCTGTACCCATTGAGTGGAGCACCAGGATCAGAGCAGTTTCTCTCTTCCATAACTAATAAAACAAATGGTTGTTGCTGTTATTATCAAAAGTAGAATGCTTTATTCAACATCACATTATTCAATCCTTTACTAATAAAAAATGCGATCAACTTTTCTTTTGCCATTAACCTTAAGTTAGGCATTTAACACCACATGAATCAGCCATTAGTTTTGTTAAAATGTCTTTGCATTCACATTACTACAAAGAAGCTACTTTCAACTATAGCTGGTTTTTTTTTTTAGATTACCACATTCTAGAGGCTATTTTTACTTCATTAATTTCTATATTATTCTTCCTCTCAGGAATATTCAGCAATAGGTGAACTCCAAATCACCAAATCCAACTAATTAATTCTTTGTTGTAATTTTAATATATAGTTTTAGATTTTTTTTTAGTAATAATTTTCAGAACATTTGGATTGTGTGATGCCTTAAGAAAGCCCACTCTGAAAAGGAAGCTGTGAATATTTACTACGCCAATAAATAAAGAGACCTGTGTTTCATTTTGGAAGTCACAATGCTGCCAGAACAAATTTTCTAAGAACAATTTTTCTATTAGTTCAGCCATCAAATTGCAATACACATAAAGCACTCATTCTATATAATGCTGATTGACTAATATTTAATTTAATTTGAACTGCAATAAGCTGAAGAGAACAAGAAAAAAAAAACCTCCACATTTGCCATAGACCAGATCTAAAAGTCTCCCTTCTGTTCATCCATGATCCTTCTATGGACTTTTTCTGCAGAAGTCTGATAGGATGCCCATGTCTTTCTGCTTCCTGCCTACACAGGCAAACTCAATAGCACATGTCTTTACTGGCCATAAAACTAAAAGCCAATGGCAGCAAAAGAGAGGCTTTCCCATGCTGTACAATATCAATGTAAGCTTTCTTAAACTTAAATGTTTATGTCAGACAATCAAAGTGTTAAGTTCGAAATACACTTTTGCTTTTTATTTTCTTAGCAATTTCTGGAATTTTTTAAAAAAAAGTTGCAATAGAAGAAATATAAGGAGTTCTTACCACATCCAGGATGGTGTGCAGACCAGCTTCCGTTTAATTGACAGTAAGCAACTTGGCTGCCTTTTAAGGTATAACCTGTGTTGCATTTGAAGGAAATCTGGGACCCGTATTTAAAGTCATCTCCTTCCACAAAACCATGAGCAGGATTACCTGGAGTCCTACACATCACCACTGACAGTTCAGATATTTCAAAAAAATCCACTTTATTACAAAAACAGGAGTGTTTTAGGATTAGTAAGAATGTTTTTTTTAAATATTACATTGTAAGAATAATGAGAGAGAAGCAAAACGAAGGCAAATAACTAGTACAGATAATTAAAAAGTGTTCCATAGTGCTGATGTGTTTTTCATATTTTGACAGTTCATTGAAACAGGACTTGACTGACAGTGTCAATATACCAGTATATGCATAAGTGTCTGGAGGGGAGGTGATGGGAAATGATGAAATGTGTATCAGAATGTCATATTGCAAACCTTATAACATCTTATAGTTATAGTTATAATATGTATATATTGTCATGTTTATTACAGCCAACCTAAACGGCAAAGTGCAGATATAATCAAAGATTTTGGCATAAAATAAGACAGCTTGACAAATAAAATAGGCTGATATTTCATAAAAGATTTTTAAAAAAACTCAACATTATTAATACAAATAAAGACTTCGTTTTATGTACTTTTTAATATTTATTAGTTTTTTATCCTACCTTTATTGCTTTGTATGTAACTCAAGAGGATGAATACAACTTAGAACTGTTCATTTAGTGACTGATTGAAGTTACAGTGGCATTGAAAAAAGTGACTTATGACCATTTTTCACACGCCTGTTACAGCATCCCCATGGTCATATGGTCAAATGTGGCAACTGGTTCATATTTATGACAGTTGCAGTGTTCCAGGATCATGTGATCATCTTTTGTCACCTTCTGACAAGCAAAGTCAATGGAAAATTCACTTAATGACCGTGTCTCTAATTTAACAACAGCAGTCATTCACTTAACAATGAAGACAAAGTCGTAGAATGACTTCGTAAAACTCACTTAACAAATGCTTTACTTAGCAACATAAATTCTGGGCTCAATTGTGATCGTAAATCAAGGACTACCTGTATACATATTTATATTAAGATGCAAGTACAGGTAGTCCTCATTTAGTAACTGCCTCGATCAGTGTCCATTTACAATTATGACAGTGATAAAAAGCAACTTTGGGACCGGTGCCTGCATTTATGATCTTTGCAATGTCTCTCAGTCAGGTGTTCACCATTATAGTCAGCTAATACAGTGTTATGTTGTCCTGTGTCTGCCCCATTTCCTCCTACCCCAGTAAATGAGCTATCTCTTCTTGAACTGCTTTATCTCCACAGCACAGTATTTCCCTAAAAAGTGCTAACTAGAGTTAACAAATTAAGCTTTGTGTTCTTAGTTGAGTACAATCCTGCAATTTGCAGGTGCTGCCTGAAATTGACAAGACCCTAATCAGTTTCAGACTAAAAGCTTGCTTTTGCCTCTCAAATGCTTGTGGCAAGTGTGCTAGGCAAACAGAGGGTGCTAGTGCATTCCTATTGATTTGTTTGCCTGCTTACTCTCTTGTGATCCATTCCTCTCCAATGAATGTAAATGAAAACATGAATTATCTTCCAAAGGGCAGTGGGTGAATAAGATTTGCTCTTTTACCCAACTTCTTTGCGAATTAAACTCCAAAAACCTTCACCCAGCTGTTTGCTTTGATTTACCCAGCTGTTTGGGGTCATATTCTTCTGAGGCTGTAAGTATTAGGGACAATTTCTTCATCAGCCTTTTTCAAGATTATTCCTGGCATGTCTCTCAATGTTCTTGTTCTTTGTTCTGCAACTTCTAAATTAAGCATCAATGCACAAATTAATTGAAACATATGTATAATCCAAGCATATTTTCACTTATTTATTCCATACTGAGATGCCCTCAAAGAGGAGGAAGAAGAAACCCAGTTCAACTGAAGGAAGTAACAAGAAGCAAAGAAAAACTTAAATAAAATCCTATCCACGGTCTGTCCATATGATTTTCACTTCACTTAGATGCAACTGCAATCACTAAACTAAGACTACCTGTAGAAAAACATGAGAGTTTGCACCATGATATAAGTTCCCTCAATTTTTCATTACTGAGATTTGTACCAGATGCCTGTGACTATGTGGGTAACCACGCTGTTATTTCTACTATAGTCCCCTTTCTCTAGCCAGACATTTCAATTAAATGCCAGGTACCCTAACAGCACCAAATATTTTTTAAAAAGCTAATTACTTATAACTATTCATTTTAGATTATTATATGATAGTGGTCATATCCCTGAGATTAAAAAAAAACTTTTTGCAGTTAAATGAAGAGTATCTTTGGGAGATTCAGAAAAAATGGGGTTTAAGAGATTTAAACACTTCCTTTCAATTGAACAATATTTGGAATATGAAATAATGAGTGAGAAGGGGATTCAAATCATTCACTCACCTTTCGCTTGTTAAACTAAAATATCCATTAAAAGAGAACAGAGCAACCACATGCCAGAAATAGTTTTCATCAAGGTAAACTTAGCTAAGGCTTTGTACTGTTGCCTTATCAAAATACTCTATAATAAGTAGAATCTTCACTATGACATATGGAAGATTATGACCTGGAATATAAGTGATATAATATAAAATTGTGGAACGTATGAATTGACAAGAGAATGGAAGGAAATATAACTTAAATACAGGGGTGAAATGCTCCCGGTTCGGACCGGATCGCCCAATCCGGTAGCGATAGAGGCGGGTGGTTCGGAGAACCGGTAGCAAAAATCCCTGCCCCACCCCATTGCCCAGCTGAGCTGCGCAATCATCAGAGGCTTTTTAAAAAATTTTAAAAGCATTTTTTCTACAACCTCTTTGGCCGAAAAAATGCTTTTAAAAGTAAAAAAAAAAGCTTCTTCAGCCGAAGAGGTTATAGAAAAAATGTTTTAAAAGGAAAAAAAGCCTCTGCCGATCAGGCAAGTCAGCTGGGATCATCAGAGGCTTTAAAAGCATTTTTTTTACAACCTCTTCAGCCGAAGAGGTTGTAGAAAAAATGGTTTTAAAAGTAAAAAAAAAAAAAGTTGGCCACACCCACTTAGTCATATTACCACCACCACCAAGCCACACCCCCAGAACCAGTAGTAACAAATTTTACATTTCACCACTGCTTAAATAGGAAGCTGTACAGAATTGAGTAAAGATAGACTGATTATTTTGTTAAATTATATGAACAAATGGGTGGAACAAAGTTCAGAAAATGTTATTGGGCCATTCAGAAATCCACAATAAATGATAATAGTGATTGGCAATTATCTGTTTAGAAAAAGGTCTGCTTGCTTGAAACAAACAACATGACTCAATTATAAATCCATTCATTCTAGTCTCACATGCACACACACAAAGTAAATATAAACCTTGGAGATGACCAGGCTAAGCCTGAGGGAGGGGTCAAATGCATCATCAGTCACGTGTCTCTTCACACCCACAAGAGATCCAAGTCTAGACCACCTTGAACTCCATTGACTCTTATCTACTGCCAATTTCCTTGGACCATTAGTAGTTCAGATTCTTGTGGATAGCTCTAGCTTGCAATAAATCTTTATATCCATTTGAATTGCCTGGAAGTTCTGATTTCCCTGGCACTTGACATTTAAAAAGTTACTATTTTGATCATGATATAATATTGAAAAAAATAGTTAAAGATAAGTTCTGAACTTGTGAAAAGTTCTGAATTTGTGACAAACTAGGTTTTATCAGCATTAGCAGAAGTTCTTTGGGGAAAATAGACACTGAAGTAAACAAAGTGGGGGGAAAAAACCCCAGTGATTTTAGAAATAATTACAGTAAGAGAAAATGCAAGTCTTGTACAGAAAAGCATTACAAGATGGATTAAGCTTCTATGGAAGCTGCTTGAGAAATGTGATTTGATTTTACCACAAAGTGCCAGAGGACTAACTAGAAGTATGAGAATGCTTAGAGGAATGAAGAAATGAAAGAGGCTATGAGTGACAAAGAAATGCATGTAAGAAACAGATCGCTGCAAAAATGAGGATATGTATAATGTATACAGAGATAAAAAAAAAACAGCTTTCAAATAATGCACTCAAACACAGCAAGGAATGGGTAAGATTTAAAAAGAGAGGGGATATGCAGAGTGAATGGAATTCCACACAGCAACTGAAATAAAAAATAAAGCAGTGAAATTATCTGGGATTAAACTGAAGTGAAAGAATACTGGAGTAAATATTTTAGCTATTTGTATGGAAATAACAGTGCTATGTCTCAGACAGAATGAAGCAGACATTTATATGGCTTTAGGAGTATGTGTGCATGCATTTTCAAGTCAAAGGGTTTGGTGCATGCAATTTCAAGTCAATCTTGACTTTTGGCAATTAGGTGGACAAGTTGAAATGCAATTTTCTGGACATTTTTCAGCAGTGGTTTGCCCTTGCCTACTATCTCAAGCCAAGAGAAAATGCTATTCAACACCGCACTGCTGGCTTCATGCCTACAGCAGAATTAGAATTCACAGCTATCCAGTTTCTTTGGTCCAGCAGTTTCAATCACTACACCTTATTAATGTTCAGGAAAAAAATGATAAAGTGAAATGAATACTGAGAGCATGTTTTAAAAATGGCAAAACTGTAAGTAGAGATGGCGCAAGTGGAGAAATGTTAAAATATGGATGTGGTTTATTTACATATTTCCTGTATGAGTTATTTAGTATGTGTGTGAAGTCTGTAGTTGTACCTGGCATTTGGGAAAACATTATTATTCCCTATACAAAGAAAATGATAGCAAGAATTAATATAAAAGCTGCAGGAGGATTACGTATGCCTGAAAACAGCTTTCATAGAACTGTGATCAAAAGGGTACGAGAGAATCAGCAACATTTGGGGAAGGGCAGTTCAGCTTTTGGGAGCAAATTAGATTTGTATATTAAGAAATATACAAATCTTGAGAAAGAAAAATTAATGTATGTTTGCTGATTTACAGATAGTGTATGATGAAATGAACAAGCTTGAATTATAGAATATTTTGTGGGAACAGAGAGCAGAAAGTTGTTCCTGAATGTGAAAAGAATATATGATGAAAGTAAATACACATGCAAATAAAGAAATGGAATACTTAGAAAAGCTTCAACACTGAG